TCAAACATTGTGGTGTCAATACTCAATAAGTTACAACGCAAATCAGAAATTTAAAAAATAATTTTGAAATGTCAAACTTTGTCCGCAATTGTTAACCACCTCAATCTGTATTATATTTTAGGGTTTTAAAAGAATTCCCTCATGTCCAAATTCAACATGAAGAGGGGTGGTCCACTGCAGAAAGAGGCATTTGAAAAGAGTGCACTGTTCTCGGTCATTAGAGGTATGTGTATAAACACACAACATTTTGGATCTCCAAAATCACAAAAATACACAAAACTACATGCATTTGCTTTAAAAAGCCAAATGCAAATCTTTCTTTGTCAAAATGTAGATTAATGAATGAATATTTACTATAAGGTGGCGCGAATTGGTTGCTGTTGCGTCTCACAGGTTTTCCAAACTCAAGTGATTCACTGTCATGTGAATCTTCATCTTTGCTCAGCTCTCCTCTTTCATCTAGAGGTCTGCGTTGTTCTTGAGATACTAAGAATATAGAGGAACAAAGCAATATCAACAAAAAACTAAGTCTTCATTTGTTTAAATCTCAATGAAAAATATTTCTAAAACAAAATATGGATAGGCCTGTGAAATAAGTTCCTGATTGAATACATTTCAAAACTCTATCAATAGCATTTGTGGAATACGGTCAATTATGTGAGCAGTGAAATATGTAAATATGTACTTTTGTTGTGCAAATACTGTATGTACTTTCGTTGGAAGTGCATTACTGTAACTGGGTCATCAAGAGAGCTTAGGGTAAACCTACAATATTAAGATATTTTTTTGACGTAGCAGTACTTACACCCAGGAGAAGTTAGCTCTACGTTGCGGTGTAGATTATGCTCTTCTCCAGTAGTTTGGATTTCTTGCTCTTTCTTTGCCGTTCCTCCCTCTTTGGACTCCAGTTCCTTCTCTCTTCTACTCAGACCTTTCTCCTGCCTTAATCTGTCCTCCAATTCCTTAAGTTTTTGTTCCCACTCTCTTTCTTTGAGTTTGTGTTGCTCCAGTTCTCTTTGGAGCTTCTCATTTTCACTCTTCATCTGACTGTCATCATGAACATAATCATCAGTCAAGGATGAATACATGTCCTTCAAGGTGCTCACAGTGTCTTTACAAGCCGCAAGCTGTTCTTTCAGTGCATTCTCACGTTCAGTAAAATCATCAATGATAGAAGGAAACATGTTTTTCAAGGCGGTGTTGCTACATTCTTTGAACAGCAGATCTTCTTGAGCTCCTGAAGCCCCTTGCTGGTTCTGCTCCTCACTGTCTTTGGATTTCTTTAACCGTATCATAGTGGCCAGCATCAACTCTCTCAAAGTGTCAGTTTCTTTCTTTAAATTACTTTCAGTAGTTCTAAATCTTTCTTCTAAAGCAGTCATCTCTTGTGCATGCTGTTTTTGTATTTCAGCATCTCTTTCCTTTTCCCATGATAAAAATGCTTTTATGAGGTTTTTATATGATGGCTGAATAAAGAATGTGGACTCATTGTTTTGTGTCATAATTTCAGTTTCTGCAAACAGACTTTGAACACTTAGCTCATTGTCCTCTAATGTGTAAAACTTCCTCACGTAGCTCCTGACACTGTCGATCCCTTTCGGTTCAGTTCTTCCAATTATCAATAACATAACATAGTCTAAGGCTTCTTTGCCAAATACTTTAGCGATTGCTTTTAAAAGGTATTTTTCCTCCTTAATCACTTTCCTGTTGTCAGTAACTAACAGAAACGCATGCGGTCCAGGAAAGACCAGAGATGCACAATCTACCATCTCATCTTTGATAGATTTGACTCTTGAGGAGAAGCAAAGGCATGATACCACCTGACTCATCCAGGAAGAAGGTGTTTTCACCACAATGACCTTTTTGCCAAATACATGACCTTTTCTGTGCTGTATTTCAGTTCTTCCTGCTCTTTCCCTAAGAATGATGTCACACGCATTAGCCATAAGATCTTTATCGCCGCCAAGTATAATAAATCTAAGCTCTGTAGCGGAGCCAGTACATCCAGTGATTGTGCCATCTGTTTAAAAGAGGTGAAATGTAATCAGATTTCTATGAATTTAGACACAGATATACTCTTAGGCTCAAATCTTTGGTATATATTTCATGAACATCATTTTATATTATTTAAAAATATATGCATTTGCTTTTGCTCACAGCATTTCTTACCACTAAGCAGTAAAAATCTAATTCAAAATGTAATATTTGTTAACAGCTTATTGTATGTTAAATAAAAAATTTGTTTTGTAATGGCTTCATAAATGTGTATGGATTTAATGGAAAAAAGGATAGTATTGCAAAGTAACATTAAATTGCAAAATAACATTAAAGACATTTAGTCATAAAATATTACTTACACTGTGGTGTGTCATGCTCTGTTGGAAAAAGAGGTTAAAACTCGTTTTACTAAATGCTATTGTTTTGTTTCTTTACTGAGGGCATAGTAAAATACTAAATTCCTGGAATAACAAAATGCTTACCGTGACTAATGAGTGGACCTGCACAGAGAAAAAAATAAAATTAAATTTATGCTCTTTATTAGAGTACCAAGTGTGATTTTGTTTTATACTTACGCCTATCTGAATCTTCACTTTGCACTAAAACACACACAATAACATTTGTTATTCATGCCTACATAACAAGAACTGAGCTGCACAGTTTGTAACAGAAACTCATTTACAGGAATTACTAAATATGCTAAATAGAACCTGCAAAGCATCAAAACCATAAACTAATTTCAACTCTCAGAAATAGAATGCAGATCAGTAATATTGATTATTGTTTGATAATATTGAAAGTGTTACCTCGTCTTGGTATCGCCGCCATCTTGGTTGTTTGTTTGGTATAATAAGAATGGTGAAGTCCATCAACTGATTATAAGAAGGTTAAAACTGAAACAGTCATGGACACAGACATGATCTATTCCAACAAAACAGGATTGGAGTCCAATTCACGATTAATTCAGATAGAAAAATCTGTATAACCCAACTGTATGCAGATAGCAGACCTGTTACCTAAGAACAGGAAACGTGTTTACTTGCAAATGAGATGAAGAACGGAAGTGCCAACCACAGAATATAGAAAAGAAGAGTCTATATCACGTGAAAGCTGATAACAGAGCTTATGTGGTTGAAGTAGCAAGATTCAAATTTAAATATAAATATATATGCATATAAACTTTCAAAAATGTTATTTACATTTCCTCCACAAACATGAGTTGTTAATTTGGCATCCCTGATGCTCAGCTGCTCACAAACCACAGAAGATTTAAACTGACATGTTGTTTTCGCCTGCTTGGAGTCTGTGCCTGTAGTATATTTTACATATGCAGGTGTTTTGGATTTTTGGCCTATCCCTTATTTTATGTTATTTCAGTACCAACATCATCCTTCAGGAAGTGACATCATTTTGGTGGAAAAACCACAACACAAACCTCAGTAAGTTAGCAATGGACTTGTTGATTTCTGTGATGTTTGTGCTATTAGTTGGTTTGTGTCAAAGTATTTACAAATAAATAAATACATAGACATGAAAATACTGCTCTGAGTTTAAATTACTTTATTATCTTTCAGCTTTTGCTAAGACAGATGGTCCATTGTAACATAGAAAACATCAGAAACAAAACACTGCAACAAATACTTTACAGTTCTACAGAATTATAGAGACATTTCTATTGAATTGTTTGATAAATAAATAAATAAATAAATAAAACCAGAATAGATGCAAATAAATAAATACATTTAAAATAAAACATTAATACCAGAATAGATGCAATGGATTGAAGAAAACTATGATTTCATATTCATTATACAGGCTAAGTGAACTGTACTGCAAATCCACCACTTTAGACTGAACTTGTGAAAATGACGATTTCACCTACTTTTACATAACTATATTTCTGTCATGACAACTCTCGGAGTGATTGGCATGGTAATGTACATGACAATGTTAATGTTAATGTATTTGGTCTTGGCGGAATAGATCTGCTACGCTGCTGCTGCGGCAGAACAAGTACCGAGACTTGCTACTGCCAATACATCCACAACATGCTGCTGTGAGCATGTAAGCATGTAATTGCTGCTGCAATTATAACATACATGAAATAACCCCACACAAAGCAGGAGACATAGAAGGGACAATACAAGCCAAAACAAGAACAAAACACCCCCCCAAAAAGCAGATCTATCCCCAAAACATATGTACTGCTGCTGCTCCGAAGAGCCATGAGAACCGCATGTATTACTATCTATGTTTACCTGGGCTACCATGCCGACCGGCTTAACAATAGTGGGCTATGACTATGTGAGCCTGGGCTACCACGCCGACCCGGCTGTATAAACACAGATGCTAAATGCTGCTGCTAATATGCTTAATACTCGCTCCTGCATACAATGCAAACTGCTAACATGACAGTTTAAACTTGATTATGGTTGCTTATTTTTTAATTCAATTAGGCAGACCATGCAATACACACAGCAATATGGATTAGAAGAGCATTCACTTATCTTAGATGTTGATTTCGCTGTTCTGAAGCAAGCTGCATATATTTGAATGTTGAGCAGCGAGCTCATTGGCTACCGATACAGGAGAGAACCAATCAGTTGTACCATGTGATAATGATGTTATTAGGTCAGATTGAGTTAGACCTATCGGACTGCGCCATCTAGAGTTTCATGCCAGAACTCTGTATTTCACATTTTACATTTAGCTAGCAGATGGTTTCATTCAAAGCAACTCAATTGAATCAATTGATCAGCTGTATTCGACCTTCACTGGAAAACTGGAACATCCTTCAACTCGCTTCAATTTCCATTCAGATAGATTGGAGATTTGTTCTCACTTTCAGACACTAATGAAAACAGACAGAGAGACAATTTAAGTGTCATATCTTAAGGTTAGCATGTCTTTTATCAGGAACAAATTCAACAAACATTAGTTTAAAGGAACATTAAGATTAAAGGGGTCATGAACTGCCTTTGTTTTTTATTTTGTTCTGTTCTCTGAGGTCTACTTATGTTATCAAGATTTTTATATAAAAACATCATAATTCAGAAGTAATAGGCTATTTTCTGTCTTGTTTTGACGCCCTCTTCAGAATGCTCTGATTGAAGAGGCGTGGCGGACTCGGAAGTAAACGCTCACTGCTGTGATTGGCTAACAGTTGAGTATGTTTGACAACTACATCCTTCATAGATGGACACTGCTTGTGATTTAGATTAAATACCGCATAAATACTCATATCAACGATCTGTAATAACAGAAAAAGCAATAGTGAGCAGGTAATGAATACAGTTCCTCACACTTGTGTGGGGCGACATCGGATCCAATATAGTCGCACAGCGTCGTCTTTTAGTTTCAATATTTCTGAAAATCCTGTGGCAAATTGTGCTTTGTTTGTAAATGAATCTGCAGTGAAATAAAGTGAACAAAGGACCGAGTTCTTACTGACGCCGTCTGGGTCTTCATTAAAAATAACGTTAATCCTCTCTTTCCTAATGTTGGGATGCAAAGACTGTTTTTCCACAACTTGGCTCTGCACAGCGTCTTGTTGTGTTCAGAGTATCTTTATAGTTTGATTTCAGCGTAATCCTGCATTAGCTTCTCTTGTTATTTACACACTACGTGCACAATTTGGTGGGCGGGGCTAAGAAGGCAGTGATGTAGAAGCAGGCGTTGATCTTCTGCGGAGGCGGAGTTTAGCCACACTATTACATCATAGATAGAACAGGGGTCTCCAACACGTAGCTAGCCAAAACATACTTTTTAAAATTCAATCAGAGTGCGCTAATATAGACAGGTGTCCCACCCCCTCCAATGCAAATAAATTATTTGTTCTGACATATCGGCCGGCTGTGAGGTACATTTAATTATCCCGTTTAGTATTTTAATTATCAATTAATTTGAAAAAAACTTGCGGTAAATACTGCTCAGTGTTAAGTAAAGTTAGTAAGAGTCCCACGCAGGCACAACACGCAGATTAGGTTTTGTGTGAAAACATGACTCAAGGCAGACTGTTGAGAGAAATTATATGAAAGAATGTATGATTGAATTAATTGTATGAATGCATAAGGAGGAACCAGCTGTCTTCAGAAAAGTTTCAACAGCATTTTATTTTCATCTTCCTACCTTGTAATGCCTAATAACGCAGTACTTATAAGTGCAGCGAAACAGCTCTATTTCAGCTGTTATGCACCACCTGCTGTCAAACAGTGGATTTATAATTTTATAATTATCTGAATTGTTGAGATTTTTAGAAAGCATATTAACTTATGTAGAACTGTTTATGGAGCAGATAAAATATTATTTATCATTCTGACTCGTCCTTTTATATATAAAAAATATTTAAAGGCTGAAATGTAAGGTTTATCATTTTATAAAAACTTTTTTTTTTCTTCTTTTGGTCAAAACTTTTTTTGAACATTGTAAATGTCAGCAGAACATGTTATGAATATTTTTTGTTAGTTTAAAAACTGGCCATAATTTTTAATGTTTTTATTTCAATGTTTATGCAAACAAAAAGTGCATAGTGCACCTATTTTTGTTGGTTTTCGACATAAAACTTGGTGAAATGATTTCAGTGTGTGTATCAGTACTTTTTGAACACACAAAGTTCTATTTTTTTTATACCATATAATTTATTTTATAGCATGTATAACAGTTTAAACTGATACATTATTTAAGAGAGTTAAGTATTATATAGCATGGGTAGCTCTCAGCCACTTTCATTTTTAAAAAGTAGCGCTCAAATGAAAAAGTTTGGAGACGAGTAGAACATTCCACAAGCTGTAATTTTGGCAGACTGCCTTCCATATAAGCTGTTTTTAGACTAACGAGATCGTTTTGAGTTCTGAAACTTTTAGGATGTTTTTATATGACCTCTTACATGTCAAAAGATCAAGGGAATTTTAGTTTCTCAGTATATGACCCCTTTAAATGTAATGTTACATTATTGTGTTACTATTACTTTGCATTCAAATGTGTATATAGCACCGTAAAGTGTTTACAATGACTCTTTCGTCATTAGATGACATTATTAGTGTAGATTTGAAAGCAAATTGGATCAACAGAGAGGAAAAACCTCACTATGCGACTCAAAGCATGCATTGCATATGTCTACGTAACAGCGCTGTGGTAACGAGAAGATGAATGTGTACTGAATGTGTGCTACTTATTTATTAAATTACAGTATTAGGTATTATAGTGTAAGTTTAAAATAGGGGAACATGTTACTTTACATGTTACTTCAAAAATATCAATCTGATGATGTAATGTACAGTATGTTACTCCCAACAATGAGTAACAATATACAGTAGACCTTTTGTATGTAGTCATCATTATGCAGAGTAATGATGTTCATTATCTTATCTTAGGAGGTCCAGTGTGTGGTCTGACCTCAAAATGAATGTCAAGTTTGGTGTATCAGATGAAATTATAATTATTTCATGATCTTCTATCATCACATGCATGTATCAATCAAACTGTGCATAAATAACATAATTCTTACTGTTAGGATGGACTAACTCATTGCTGCTAGTTCGCACAGGTTTCATTCCTTCAGGCCTTCTATCCAGTTCTTTCTCTCTTCTATCCAGTTCGCTCTCTCTTTTATCCAGTTCGGTTTCTCTTCTATCCAGTTCTCTCTCTCTTCTTTCCAGTTCGGTTTCTCTTCTCTCCATTTCGCTCTCTATTCCATCCAGTTCTCTTTCTTTAATATACAGTTCCATCTCTTTTCTCTCCATTTCTATCTCTCTAATATCTGGTTCCATCTCTCTTTTCTTCAGTTCTATCTCTCTTCCATCCAGTTCCATTGCTTCTCTGTCTCTTATATACAGCTTATATTTCCTTACATGCAGGTCCATCAGTCTTTTATCCAAATCGGTCTGTCTTCTCTCCGCTCTTTTCTCAATTTCTCTCTGTCTAATATCCATTTCCATTGCTCTTCTATCCAGCTCCATTGCTCTTTTCTCCAGTTCTCTCTCTTTAATATAGGGTTCAATCACTCTTTTCTCTGGTTGTCTCACTCTAATATCTGGATCCATTGCTGTTTTCTCTTGTTCTATCTCTCTTTTCCCCAGTATATCACTTATAAACCAGCACATGTGTGTTCTCTGCAAGTCCATCAGTCTTTTATCCAGTTCTGTTTCTCTTTGCTTCAGTTCTTTCTCCCTTCTCTCCAGGTCTGTCTCTCTAATATCTGGATCCATTGTGCTTTCATCCAGTTCCATCGCTCTTCTATCCAGTTCCATGGCTGTTTTGTTCAGTTCTCTCTCTTTTCTCTCCAGCTCCCTCTTTCTTGCCTCAGATAGAGCACTTGTATGCGACTGTATGATGCGACATTAAAAT